TTTTTTTTTTTTTTTTTTTTTTTTTTTTTTTCCTTTGTATACTTTTAGTTTTTCAGGTTTTTTTGAATAGGGCCTTGCTGTGTGGTTCAGGCTGGCCTTAAACTCATGATATACCCCAGGCTGGCCTCAGACTCATAGTGATCTTCCTGCCTTAGCCTTCTGAGTATGTTTTGTTTTGTTTTATTTTGTTTTGTTAAAACAGGGTTACCCTTTGTAGTTCAGGCTGGCCTTGAACTCACTATGCAGCTCATGATGTCCTCAAACTCATGATCCTCCTACCTCATCCTCCCGAGTGGTGGGATTTGCAGGTGTGTGCCAACACACCTAGCTGTTTGTTTTTAAGCCTGCTCTGATTTTAGTATGTTTTGTAGTGGATTTATTAAGACATGGTTCACATGTAATAGAGTTTACTTATTTAAAATGCACAATTCAGTGGTTTTTAGTATAGGCACAAGATTGTACAACCACCATCTCAACTTTTAGGACATTTTAATCACCCTAAAAGAGAAATCTCGTACCTGTCACACCCATCCTCCCAACTCTTTCACTGGGGTAATTCCTGACTTTTTTTATCTTTATAGGTTTTCTTATTCTGGACAGTTCCTAATCTGTACTCTTTGGGGATTAGCTGCTTTCACTTAGTGCATAGCGCATAGCGTTATCAAGGTTGTCTGTGTTGTATTGTGATTAGCTTTTTGCCTACCTGCTTACTGTGCTGGGAATCAGGCCCAAGGCCTTGTGCATGTTCATTCGTTTTTTAAAAAATTTTTTTGCTGAATAATATTCCATTTTATGGATGTACATATTTTATTCATTAATCATTTGATGGATTTGTGTTATTTCCACCTTGGGCTATTCTGAATAATGCTGCTGTGAGTATTTATGTATAAGTTTTTGTGTAAATTTGGTGGGAGGAGCTTTGAGACACGCTATCACTAGGTAGTCCAGGTAGATCCTATTGCCTCAGCCTCCTGAGTGTTAAAATTATAGACGTGTGCCAGTATACTAGACTATAATCATTTCAAAATAAAAGTTTAAAAATGTTAGCTGGGAGGAGGCATGAAATGTTAGTTGAAAGGTTGTAGTAAATGGAGTTTTTCTGCTTTTTAGAAAAAGTCACTAAAATACCGTATAAACTGGTAAAGAGTTATCCATAAAAGAGGAAGAAATTGGTGATGCAAATGAGACCATAATTTTTTTTAATGAGAGAATAATTACTGGAGCAGACTACATATTGAACCTTTGGCTTGAAGGCATTAAAAAATAAAAACTATTTACATATATTTGTCTTATTTATAGATGAGGTTACCTTTACAACCTTTTGTAGATAAATCTAGCTGTGGCCCTTAAATATTCTAAATATTTAGCCAGGAGTGGTGGTATATGATTGTAATTCTAACACTTGTAAGGTTGAAGAAGGCTAAAGCAAGAGAATTATGAGTTTGAGCCTAGTCTGGGCTACATAGTGATCTATTGTTTTAAAAAAGAAAAAGAGAGTTCAATCCCCGGTACCCAAAAAATAAACAAACAAATAAAGAAAAAAAGAAAAGAAAAAAAAAGAAAAAGAACAAAAAAGTTCTGAAAGTCCCACATGCTTTTGTATAACATTGAACTAAATTATGAAATGAAATGGAATTTCAAGAGTTACTTGTCATTTTGAACTATTTTCCTTCAACTGAAAAATAAAGAACTGTAATTATTTACTAAAGAGTTAAATAAAGCCAGGTGTAGTGACACATACTTGTAATTGCAGCAGTCTGAGAGGCTGAGGCAGTAGGATCACAAATTTGAGTCCAACCTGGGCAATTTAGCGATTTTCTTGTCTCAAAATAAAAAGGGCTGAGAACGTAGTCAGTTTGAAAGATGAGTTCAATCCCTAGTACTTCACACACACTTCAAGTTAAATAAGTGGCTGTTTTACTTCTGGTGGACAGTGGGTTTTAATCTGTTTCATGGCTTTGTCCTGTATCTGAAATGCAGTGATACTAAAATGCTTCATGTGTGTATTGGCTGTTATTTCAGGGACACAGCAGGACAAGAGCGATTTCACACCATCACAACCTCCTACTACAGAGGAGCAATGGGCATCATGCTAGTGTATGACATCACCAATGGTAAAAGCTTTGAAAACATCAGCAAATGGCTGAGAAACATAGATGAGGTAAGACCTAGAAATTATGTAAATCCATCATTTTAAATTTTGGACAGTCTTTCTAGAACCCCACCCTAGGAATTTGCTAACTACTCGAGAAACTATAAAACCATTTTATAAAATGCTTCCAAATAGAAAACTACCAGAGATTTTTGTAGTCGCTCTCTCTACACGAATTCTCTCTCAGTGGATTTTTATTGGGTAGCTGAATGAAACTTTTAGTAGCAATTATAAAACTTATTTTTAAGTTATAAGAATGTTAATTTATAGAGATTTTGAAATATATGTAGTACTAATAGAAAATTCTTACTAATAGTGCCATATCATTGAATGTGAAAATACAATTTTTTATAAGTTAAAATGTATTGCAGTGTGTCAATGCTGCAGCTTAGGTTAGTGTTTCTGGCAACTTGTAGTATGATCAAGCCATTCGTAAATTGTTTCAGATGACTTGGAATGATTTGTTCATTTAGTGGCTGTGAGCTTCTTAGAAGAGTAATCCTGTACTTTGTTTTAAAATTTTTTATTAGTACATGATAGCAGTACATAATGTTTATAGTCATTGTGGGTAGTGATACGTGTACATAACACATCTTAATTCTTTTTTCATCCCCTTCCCCTATCATTTCCCACTTAGCTCCATCCTTCCATCCCTTGTTCCCCTTCCCTTTTGTAAAAGATCTGTCTCCCTGTTTCCTAGGTCTGACTTTTATTTTGTTCTTTATTTATATTTTTGGTTTCTCATATTAAAGAAACCATGAGATATTTAAGCTTATCTATTTGGTTTATTTCATGTAACATTGCAATCTCAAGGTGCACCCATTTCACTATAAGTGACTCGGGTTTATCCTTCTTTATGGCAGAGTGTACTTTATTGTGTATTAACTACCATACTTAATATATTCATCTGTTGAATGGACCTAGGTGCTGCTTCCAGGATTTAGCTACTGTGATTTGTGTCGCTAACAACATGGGTATCCATATGTCATTGTAATCATGTCTTCAGCTCTTTGGGGAAGATACCTAGAAGAAAGGGAATAGCTGGGTTAAATGGACTTTGTAGTTTTAATTTTTGGAGGGCTCTCCATACTGGAGAATTTCCATAGTGGTTGTACAGTATTAGTTTACATTCCCACCAGCAATGTAGAAAGGTTACTTTTTCTTTTTTTCTGGTACCAGGGATCGAACTCAGGACCTTGCATTTGTGGTGCCACTGAACTAAATCTCTGGTGAAAGCTTACTTTTTCACAACAGTCCCACTAGGGTTTGTTATGATTTGATTTCTTTTTTTTTAATGATTTGATTTCTTGATGATAGCCATTCTTTCTGGAGTAAGGTAGAAACTTTTCTTGCATTTCTCTGTTCGCCAAAGGTGTTGAACACTTTAAAAAATGTATTTATTGACCACTTGTACTACTTTGAGAAGTGTCCATTCATTTCATTTGCTCTTTTTTTTTTTCTTTAACTAGGTGTTTCATTTTGGGATATCTAATTTTTTAGTTCTCTAACCAGATATTAGTCCTCTATCCAAGGCATAGCTGGCAAAATTTTTGTCCCATTCTGTAGTTTGTTTCCTTTGCTGCACAGAAGTTTTAGATATTTTCCCATTTGTTGATTTCTTTTTCTAAACTCTGGACCTTGCCCCTGCAAGGCAGGCGGTGGAACCACTGAGCTAAATCCCTGGCCCCCATTTGTTGAGTCTTAATGTTATTTCTTATGTAGTTGGAGTTCTGTTCAGAAAGTCCTTACCTATGCCTGTATCATCAAGAGTTTTACCTATTTCATTTTTTAGCAGATTGTTCTTAATGTTTAGATCTTTGATCCATATTTATTTTAGTTTAATACATAGTGAGAGAGGTGCTGCCGCCTGCTTCGCAAGTACAAGGTCCTGAGTTCAATCCCCGGTACCAAAAACAAAACATACAAACAGTGAGAGATGGTGGTCTAGCTTCAATCTTCTACATGTGATGGCCAGTTTTCCCAGCACTATTTGGTAGAGAGGCTATCTTTCCTCTAGTGTTTTTGGCCCTTTGTCAAAAATCAATAGCTGAATATGCCTGTGGTGATTTTTTCATCTTCTGTTTTGTTTCACTAACTTGCTGTTTCTGTGCCAGTACCATGCTGTTTTTATCACTGTAACTTTGTAATGAAATCTGAGACTCATAACATGAAATCTGGGATTGTGATATCTCATGCTTTGTTCTTGTTGTGTAGGATTACTTTTGTTATTCTGGGTCTCATTTCATATGAATTTTAGGATTTTTTTTTTTGGTGAGGAATGTTGCTGGTATTTTTATTTGGATTGCATGAAATCTTAATATCAATTTTGAAAGTAGGTCTGTTTTGAAAATACTGGTTCTACCTATCAAGGAATAACATTGTTTTCCTAATTTCTTAGTGGGTTTATTATTGGTTATAGAATGCTATTGATTTTTGTATATTGGTTTTCTATCCTGCCTTGCTGCATGAGTTTATTAGTTCTAGGAGTCTTTTGGTGAAATTTTTTGTAAAATGTAAAGGATCATGTCATCTGCAAATAAGGATAGTTTGACTTCCTTTCCTATATACATCTTTCTTTTGCTCAATTTTACTGACTAAAGTTGTGAGTACTATATTACATAGGAGTGGTGGTAGTAGACATCCTTGTCTTGTTCCTGATTTTACAGGAAAGGCTTTCAGTTTTCCCCCATTTAATATGATACTGGCAGTAGGTTTGTCATAAATGGCCTTTATGAGATTGAGATAGGGTCCTTCTATACCTATTTTTTCAGGTTTTTATGTTTGTTTTTAATCATGAATGGATGTTGGGTTTTTGTAAAAAGGCCTTTTCAGTATCTGTGAGGTAATCATTTAGTTTTGTCCTTTTTATGTGGTATGTTCTGTTTATTGGTTTGCCTTTATACCTCTGGGTTGAATCCTACTCAGTTATGGTATGTGATCTTTTGGATGATTTGTTGCATTCTGTTTACTCATATCTTTGTGAGGATTTTTGCATCTGTGTTCATCAAAGAGTGGTTCTGTTTTTTTTTAGTTGAGTTCTTTTTTGGTTTTAGAATCAAAGTAATGCTGACTTCCAAGAATGAGTTTGGGAATATTCCTTCCCTTTGAATTTCATCAGAGTTTGAAGAGTATTGGAATTAGATCTTCTCTGAAATTCTGATAGAATTCAGCAGTAAATCAACTGGGTCCTGGGCTCTTCTTCATTGGTGGAGTTTTTATTACTACATCTATTTTGTTACCTGTAAGTTCACTAATCATCTTACGTCCATTATCTGGTTAGTTAATCCTCCTTGAGTTTGCAAGCACCTTACTGTTTGTATATTTTTATCATTTTGTATAATTCATCTGTTTGGCTTTTGATATCCTCTCCACCAGTGATTTATGCACCACCTTTTGGGAGCTTTTGGAGGCATTTTGTTGCCTTGTCGTCTCACATTTGTCTTGTTGGGGGGCAGTGATAAAATTTGCAGATATATTATGGTAGATTTTGTTGCTAGAATGGAGTTGCTATTTCACTACTGTCTACTTTACAGTGATGCACACTGGGCATGGCTGACTACAGGCTTTTATCTCTGTCCCAAGATCCAACCCTCTGCATTAATTTGGGAGGGAAGAGTGCAGTGTAATTAGTCTAGCACACAGTTCTCCAGAACTGACCCACAGCATTGTTGATGATTCAGAGACATACCAGATATTGGCATACAGTACAATAAAAATGCCATCGTGGCTATGCAGACATTCTTTTTTTTATTCTTTTTTTTCTTTTTATTGAGGTTATTGGTACAATCTAGGTATACAATACAATTACATTCATCATTGGGATTCTGTACCTTTACATAATAGGTCTTGATTCCCATTTTTCCCCTTGTCCCTGCCCTCTCTTCACCCCCTCCCTCCTATTTCACATTATTAATTGTCTCATTAGGATCCTGTGTACTATTATAGTTTTTCACACCAAAGAAACTATTCAGTATTTCAGTTAAAGAAATCTCTGTATGAACATTAAAAATAGGGAATCCTAAAATAAAACTAAAAAGGAAAGTAAAAGAGAAAAGGCAATGATGTAACATCAAAATAATCCTTAATTCTGGAGATGAAAATGGCCCCTGAACATATTTAAATTGCCTCTCGCTCTTATAGTCTTATCTTATTCTTTTTTTTCATTATTTAGAGAATACTTTATTAGTTTCTGTAATCAAACCCACGTAGATATGACCTTACATATTTAGTACGATGTGTTATCCCTGTACACATGGAAAAAAAAAAAATTAACATTTCTAGACCAGTAATGGTTGTCCATTTCTGTACAATGCCAAGTCAACACAGTAAATTGGGATGACTTTTTCCAAAGTTGGCAGCACCGTTAAAGTTTCCTAAAATTCAATTTATATATATATGTGTGTGTGTGTATATATATATATAAAGACTAATAATAGTATGTTATGCATCGATAGCAGCAACAGCTTTTCCAGGTTCTGCAGTCATCTGAACAAAATTATAGACATTCAGCACATTCCATTAAAAAAAAAAAAACAAGGAAAAGAATAATATCCAGACAAAAGCAAAGTTCTGTTGCTGCTGTGGTACCTGGTACCATTTTTTCTGTTAGCCTCTTAATCATATCTGGAAAGAGAACATTCTAGAGTAATATCATTAAATGTAGCTCTGATAAAGCACAGTCCCTACTATGTATCATAAAGCAGGTACTAGATATTTTACATTCATAGAGGTATGATACAGTACTGTCCTACATCAATAATAATTTATAAATAAGATTGCTACCCCTGTTTTTTTCTGGGCTCCTGTCACATGGAGAATTGTTTTCTATCTTTTCACTTTCAGTCTATGGGCTTCTTTTTGCACTAGGTGTGTTTCTTGTATACAACATATTGTTGGATTTTGCTTCTTATTCCATTTTGCCAGTCTATTTCTCTTGATTGGTGAGTTGAGGCCATTGACATTGCTGGTTATAACTGATATGTACTGACTTATTATTGACATGTTATTGG